TGGATTCCACATGACCTCAAAGGGTTTAGTTCCAGAAAAAATGAGACCACCCAAAAAGTATTTCTGGAGAGTAGAATTGCAAAATAGGTTAGCTGCACTATTTGATTTTACTCAGTCTGGAGTCACGCCAACCCTACGCCCTTCAATTTGGTATTGACGGGTTTGCATGATAATGCAGGAGGTTTCGAATCAAGTGAGGCCGAGATATCAGATAGCACGTTGATCTCGTTGAGATACTATGAGATGACGGATTAGCGCAGAGATGGAAAGTGATTGCAATACTTTCCTTAATAGGACGATTTTGACACGATTTTGATAATTTGACTATAACTTTTACTACAGTTATCAGAATCGAAATTATGACCCCAATTCGGAAAGCCCTTTTCGGCACGCACGTTGTGGTCACTGGCTATGCTCGGTGGGCATCAATTTTAGTCCGAAATCCACTATTTTCCCCTTCGAATTTCAATTTTTAATTTTTTTTTTCAGTTATGGTAATATTTCGTTTGCTTTTTTCTAGTTGATTACGAGTCTGATTTGAGCCAAATTTTTGGCAAGTTACTTCTTTTATTCCGTATTTTATTTTGGTGTGATTTTCAAGATTTTGCTATTTTTGGTAAAATTTCAATAATTTCGTGTTTTCTCAGCTATTTAACGTGGCTTGTGAGTTAATTTTCGTAGTACTAGTTTTAATAATATTGAGTGAATTTCTTAGAAGTTTCTCTGTGTTGGGTGTTATTCTTTCGTTTATTTTTCCTGTGAATTGTCTATTACAACAAGCCCGCGGGATAATTGTTATCGTGCCCGGCGTCACATGAGGTGGTGGGACACATAGAGTCGGTCTTGCCTATGATAATAGTAAGGAGTTTGTGATTAGTATGAACTTCCTGTGCACCATTTGGACTGTGGACAAGCTCATTATTAATGTTTGGAAGCTGCCTCTTCAAGTCGAATGCCTGGAAACGTCTTAAGAAGGTTGCTAATAACTAAGGCATTTCCCAGTTCGTAAATCTACTTATCAACTTATCAATTTATGAGGGAGACACCGCAGAGAGACCAATATCAGGTGCAAGCTAACGGGACGATTGAAGCAAATGGATTACGCTTGTCTCATATTTCCAGAGAAGGTAATTTAGTTCTGCTAATTGGCTTGCAAACCAAGGACTAGATCGATAGAGTGAAGTACTGGTGATAAACTGGGATTTTGAGAGGTAGGGCAAATCAGGTAGAGGCCTAAGAGCCCGGCTTAGGATCCGATGATTATCTTATAAAACAAAATTCAAGTTTACCACCACAAGATGAATGATCTAAAAATCAACCCGTAGACTGGCATATTTCTGTAGGATGCTAGGGATGTTAAAGGTGGATGATAACGTAGAAGTTGGTGTGAAAAATTACTAGCTGAAAGTTTTGTCATTAACTTTTATAACAAAAGCTTAATGGAAGAGAATTGGCCAGTCAAAACTACTTTTCATTTTCCTCCTTTTTAACAAATATTTCATGTCCAATCTACTTTGTATGTATTTAAGAGCGTCAAGTAGTGATATCGGTTGTTTCCCTCTTGATGATGGAAGAACCTCCAAACTACATGAAATGATAAGAAATTTGAATAACGAATCCATTGAAGAAAAATAATTTCATATATATTATTGCCAAAATACTGCACAAAATACTTTGTGTAGCACTTATTGATCATTTAAAGCCTGGCTAATGATCTAGTTGAGAATAAACTATAGAAAATCCTAATAAAGTCTAACACTGAACAAATGAAAGAAAGATAATTTTCATGTATTTGAATCTGATTCACATATGCTCATCATAAAATATTGAAAACAGTATTACAAAAACATAATATTTCTTTCCCTCCATATTTTGGCTTCAAAATTTTTAATTTATATTGAAGTTCGCTAATTATTTTTTCATTTTCAACAACAACAACAAATTTTTATTGTTAAAAGTTCATCTGTTAGAATACACACACTTATATAAGCCATTTGATGAAACAACAGGGAAATAAAAAATAAAAAATAAAAAAAATTAAGAATGATAATACACTTACAGATATTTGAGAATGTTTAATATCCACCAACGGACTGAATGGCCAAAGCAGCAGAGAAGGTTGCTGAACAAATTGGTAGAGAGGTATCTCTTCCTGTTGCAAATAAACATATATATAAATCAATCCAAAAATTTAATTGTTATACGTTCTATAAACCTATGATTTACTAAACCCTAATCAGTTAAAGCGTTTTTAGACTCAATCTACAACCTGAAAAAGAAGATATATTACTTGAAAAGGGAAACCAAAAGCAGATCTAACCTGGGCTAGTTATTTATTTGTCTAATTGAAATTTAAGAACAAGGAAACAACGGGGAAATTATGTTAAAGAAAAAATGACGCTTACAATAATTTCATTAAATCCCTTATCGACCACTGGAATAATTGGCCAAAGCGATATCGCATGTTGATGAACGAATCTGTTAAAAGGAATGTCTCTCTGTTGCCAAAAAAAAAAAAAAAAAAAAAAAAAAAAGAAGAAGGAAGGACAAATATGGTTAATTAATTAGTAATATTTACCATAAAGAAGAGGATCTGTTCTATTGTTTTTTGCATCTAGGAAAAAAAATTGTGATATACCACATGAAAAACATTTAAGGATAGAAAGCAGATCTGTAACCTGAGCTATGATTTTGAAAAGGGTAGCATTAAGCAAATGCTTCCTGTTTATGGATAGTGAGGCTTGCCCTACTGTTTTCAGAGAGATTACATGGCCTTGTATCTCAGATTCTACATTTCTAGTGCCCATTTTAACTGGAGGTCCTTACACAGATACCTTGAAATGACGAACTGAAGTAACAGATACAGATGAATTAAGCACAGGAAACAGACTCTGAAAGAGAGAGAGAGAGAGAGAGAGAGAGAAATAGTAAGATGAAGACACTATGTGTGCGTGTGTGAGTGACATATATATATAGCGTGAATGATATGTAGAGAATCTGAGAAAGCATGGGTGTGCGAGAAAGAGCAAGAGAGAGATTTGGGGATTACCGGGGCGGGGCACACTTCAGATTGTTGTCTAAACGAAGAAATAAATAAATAAATAAATTCATAGCCAATGAAGTTTGTCATCAAGAACGAGGCAAAAAAATGTTAGGTCCGCTACACGTAGGCCCCATACTAAAATTCAGACTTTTAGTAAATTTTAATAAATGCAATTAATGTGTGGTTGAACAATTGGAAAAATTGTGGGACCCACAAAAGTGGGCTACAAATGAATTCAGTGAAATAAGTCATAAAAATTGGAGGTCAAACAAGGGCCTATCATCTTGAAATGTTTGAAATAATTTAGTTCTGAACCACTAAAATAAATTTCTGAAAAAAAAAAAAAAAAAGATTGCCTCAATTTACTTAGTTTGTTTTTTCTTGAAGGTCCCCCATGTACTTCCTTTCATTACATATAAGATAGGTTTTAGAATTCAAACACCCTGTTGAATTTAGGCGGATGCCTAAAAATTATACCTATACTTTAATGGTGTTTGATTAAGAAAGAGCTAGGTATGTTCATGAAATCGACACTCTTTTAGCTATCGATGTACAAGCCGCTTAACTCAATAAATGCGAATAGTTAACTTATGGCCCACCCAGTAAATGCAATCTACATTACCACTTTAGTATGCGAATTATGTGGAGAAAATCAAAATAATGTAGATTGTCCTTCATGCAGTCTAGTCAATGAACATTTGAATTATGTGAGAAATTTGCAGTGCCAATGATAAATGCATTTTATGTGCTTATCGGAGTTTCTATTTTTATTTATTATATATAAAATGAACGATTATCTACTTAATTTTGTGTAAATTATGTTAGCTGTGTGAAAAGTTTAACTTGAATATAATTTATGTGAAAAGAGGTTATTTGGAGCATAATTAAAGTTGATTTGAAGCAACTCAGGATTGAATAATGCTAGTCAGCTAGATATGAAAACAGGGCTAAAGATAGGGATTTGAATTCTTGCTGACGTGGCAAATTTTTCCCCCCAAAGAAAAAAGAAAAAAACTAAAAAAGAAATGAAAAAACAAGGCTAAAGAAGCGGGAAATTAGAGGGAAAGATAATCCCATCAGTTAGTAAATCCAAGCCCTTTCCTCTCATCGCCTCCCTCTCGCCACCGTCGATCGACTCTCATTGCCTCCCTCTCACTGCCGTCGACTGGCCCTCTCGTCGCCTCTCTCTTGTCACCGAAGCATCCATAAAGTAGCCATGAAGATGCACCCAACTCTCTGTTTTTCACTCTTCTGGACTTATTGAAATGATTAATTTTTCATTGAAGCAAGCTCAAATAGCTCTGAAATTTTTAATTACCTGCGTCTTAGCATCTTAGCAGACTCTCCGTGTATGAAAATTTTGTTTGATAAGTCCCCCTAATCTACACATAACATGATACTTATTGCTTCAAAAGTTCTGCTGCATCACAATCAAACATACTTCAAATGACTCGAAATTTGTGAGATACCACCTAACGCTTCAAGGAACTCACCACTATAGTTATTTCTGAAAATTTATGTTGCAAGCTTGTCCATTAAATGCACAAGAGGTAAGTGCATGAAAGTACAATTATGCTCACATCATAATTCTTCAATAACTTTTGGTTGTATATATGTTGTACACTTAATTCGAGGAAAAAAATCAATTAATTTACTTGTGTTTGTTATCAGTATTTTCATCTGCTCATGTACTTAACATGTTAAAATATGGAACTGGTAGATATGATTAAGAGAATTCAAATCAATTGTACAAGACAGATTGAGAGCCAAATGGGTTTTTTTCCTTCAAATTTTTATGGTTCTTGTCATATATTAATTAAATAAATGAAAGAAATTGTACAAGACAAATTGAGAGCCAAATGGGGTTTTTTCCTTCAAATTTTTATGATTCTTGTCAACTAGTGCCATAATGAATTTTTTTTTATGGTTCCTTTTTATTTTTGCAGCAAAATAAAGTATGGACGACGTACAAGATGAGTATGTTGACGTTTTGATGAAATCTAATACTGAGAATGTTACGAAGTCTATGAATGTAGTCGAAGACAAAACACCAGGAGGAGATGGGTTAGAGGTGCCTGAGGTGGGTATGCTATTTAAGCATGAAGAAGATGTGTATGACTTCTACAAAAAATATGCTTATGCTGTTGGTTTTTCTGTGAAAAAAGGAATTTGAAAAAGGGGGACGATGGAGTATTGCGATACGTGATGTTAACATGTAGTCATAAAGGACGAATAAATGGTAATACTAGTTCGCAACCAACAGTGAAGATGGGTTGTAAAGCCAGGATATCTGCATCTTCAAATATCATGGGAAACTGGTGAATTAACATAGTCTATCTCGAGCACAATCATGAGACAAGTCCATCTAAGTCTAGGTTATATCGATGCAATCGAACTTTGTGTGCACATGTGAAAAGGAAGCTTGAAGTGAATGATGTAGTAGGGATTCCCTTGCATAAGAGTTACAATTCCACAGTTGTGGAAGCCAGTGGATATGAGAACATGACTTGTATTGAAAAGGATTGTCTGAACTATGCCGAACGAGTTAGGCGATTACGACTTGGAGAAGGCGATGCTACAGCAATACAATCATACTTTTCAAGAATGCAAGCACAATACTCGAGATTTTATTTTAGTATGGATTTGGATGACGATTCGCGACTAAGAAATGTATTCTGGGCAGATAATCTGTATAGGCTAGCGTACAAGGAGTTTGGTGATGTGGTTAATTTTGATACCACTTATCTTACTAATAAGTATGATATGACATTCACTCCCTTTCTTGGCGTCATTCATCATGGACAATCAACATTACTTGGTTGTGGGTTAGTGTTGAATGAAGACATCGATACCTCCATATGGTTGTTTAGAACATGGCTTCAGTGTATGTATGGCAAAGCTCCGCATGCCATAATTACCGATCAAGATAGAGCCATGCAAAATGCAATTGAGATTGTCTTTCCGAACATGAAGTATAGATGGTGTTTGTGGCATATTTTAAAAAAGCTCCCGAAAAAGTTTGGATACCATGTTGATAAGGGTTTGATATTTGGGGCTATACATTCGCTAGTGCATGATTCCATGTCAGAAAAAGAATTTGAAGAAGGTTGGATGGCGATGATAAACACCTATAGCTTGCACGAAAATAATTGGTTCTTAGGATTATATGAGAATAGAGGGCATTGGGTGCCTTATTTTTTGAAAACCACTTTTTGGGCAGAAATGTCAACAACACAGAGAAGCGAGAGTATGAACGCGTTCTTCGATGGATATATGCATTCGAAGATATCGTTGAAGCAGTTCGTCGAACAATACAAATGTGCCCTGTGGAATAAGGTCAATAAGGAGTTCCAAGCTGATTTCAAGTCATTTTCTCAAATGATACCGTGTGCAACATAATTCGAAATGGAGGAATAGTTTCGGTAAGTTTACACCATATCGAAATTCAGGGAAGTTCAAGAAGAGTTAACAGGTTAGTTCTACTGTAATATCATATCTACACCAAAAGGATCTTATGATATGACGTACAACGTACGGGAGACTATTATGTATGATGGTCGTCGCAAGAGAAAAATATTCATCGTCTCATTTGTGAGAGATAATTGTGAAATTGTTTGTAGCTGCCAATTGTTTGAGTTTAGGGGAATACTATGTAGACATGCAATAGCAGTTTTGGACTGGAACGATGTCACCTGTATTTCGGAGAGGTATATTTTGCAGAGATGGAGGAGGGATCTTCGTAGAGCACACACGAGAGTTGCTGTAAAATACATTGGGTTAGCTTATACTCCTGCACAATTAAGATACGAAGAGATGTCTAAGGGATTTGCGTAAGTGGCAGACCTTGCTGCAGACGATGAAGTGCGGTCACTTACAATAATGAAGTGGATAAAATGTAAATGTGAAGATATAAAAATCACAAAATCTGGTGGTGGTGGTATTAATCCCATATCGCAGCGTACTGTGTAGGTACCCAATGATTGTGTGGGCGTATCAAAATCTACGAGCGGAAGCATACTTGATCGGAAATTGGCTTGACGAAAGGGTTGCCCACGAAACTTAGAAAAAAAGCTCATTGGAGACGACATAGAAGAAAGCAAAGGTATGCTCGAATGTCGATTTATATTTGCAATTGTCTAAATTGAAAACTAAGTGAAAACTGTGAATGAAGTTTGACGGTACATCAACCACAAATATGCTACCAAGAAATAGCAATACGAATATGACTGATGATGCAATGAACTTTCAATTGGCTCAGCAATATTCCATGTCCACCCTGACGTCGTACTTGCACAATGAAGTGTTGAAACCATTATCGTTGTCACAATTGTCCATGCAGACACCATTCTCCCTTTCACAAAGTTTACCATTTGCAAATTTGGTCCCTCCAGCCGCGGCTAATGTATGCAAAATTCACAAGTTAGACACAAGTGTTGCTAAATGGTTTTAAAATTCATTTTGTTGTGAACAGATTATTAATTATTTGTTATGGTATTCTATTGTAGGTCAACCATTGTCGAACTACTATCAAAATTTATTGGATCATGATGGCAGTGGCTTATGACTAAAGCGAGGGCTTTATATTTTGTGCTAGTGGAATTTTTTGAAATATTTGTTTCAATTCAGACAAGCAATTGTATTTTGGCAACATTGTAGTGCTCTATTTATTTCAAATCCGGGGCTGTATTTTTAGACGTATTTTGTACTATCTTGTTGCAGTAATTGCTATGGTTGGTTATCTAAATAAAGCAATTGTTATATCCGATGGTTGGTTAACTAAATAAAGCAATTGTTAATTGCACTCTATTTGGCTATGTGTTATATCTGATGAGGATTTTATTTATGTAGCTTAGCTTGTGTTGTAATGTACCATTTCTAGAAGAAATTCCACTTTCTAAATTCAGAAAGTCGTAGAATATAGAATATTATTTTTTTCCAGCGAGCTGTGTTTCAATTTCTTGAACTTGACCACATTCTATGCATTTTCAGTCAGATTGGAGCAATATTTTTTGCATTCACTGTGATTATTTTAAGACTTAGAAGTTGTAGCTGGTCCCCAGATCTTGATTGTGGGTTTTCATAGTTTCTGACATATGGACTTTGAGCTTGGAAGCAAACGTATGTCTCATGTGGAAATACAACACAGCCAAAAAATCATTGCTGCCTTTTTTATGTAACGGTGTTGTTTTCTTCATTTTCATCGGCTTTGCATCATTTTTTTTCCAGTCATACAACTAATGATATATTGCAACTAATGTAGGAGATTGCATGTGGTCTCCCATGTGATTGAATTTTGGATGCTACTAGCTGTTCTCATGTGTTTGTAGCAATGTTTTCTTCACTTAAGCTTGTCAACTTGGAATGCATAAACAATAAATTAGCATAAAGTGCACGTAATTGGCATAGTCAGAATGTTTGCAAAAGAAGGTTGTTTCTATACAAAGCTATGATGATCTACAACCTCGCACCACAAAGCTCAACTACTTGACTTAATTCATCACATACAAGACTTTCGGCCTCTAGAAATAATGAAGGACAAGCTGATTCAGTTTTCATTGACAAAAGCTTCGATAAGTATCTTCAATCAAGCTGGTCGCTTCCCTTTAGCGTCCATGTCTGCAACAGTTTTCTCCATCTTGATGTTCACGTTCACCAAAATCTGGAGCTCCTCTTCGTCACTTATCCTTACCCAAGATTTGAACATGCGGGACATTACTTCATCAGTGTTATTCATCGTGGGATTAACGACCTTCACGCTATTGCTACTACATTGACTGCTTGAGTCTTCTTTTACGACCCACTCCCAAAATCCACAATTTCGACGGCAGCAAAGGAATAGTTTTCCCTTATTGTGATTCTCCTCTCCACCACAAAACATTTCTCAAATCTGTACTTACATCTTGGGCAAGGACGTTTTCTTTTGCGTTTGGCAAACAAATGGTCTTTAGCTTTACAACTATGATAGACTCCGGAGTTCCTTTTGGGCATTCTACTATGGGAATAAAAAGTAGACAACATTTATCAATTCAAGAAATCCACAAACTGTGAATACCCAACCAAATAGGCTAATTAAGAGTCATTTTTGAAAATGAATTATACGAAATCACAACTACAAGACTACCTAGACACATCGACCACTACCTAATCACAGCAAACAAGTCAATTACCAAAGGACATAGCATTTTCAATACCTTAATAAACTGCTCTTATTCAGCCCCTTCAGCTAATCGATAAACATTCATCATCGAAGTGCCTTATGGAAGAAACAGGAATTAAAACTCCCAAGGTTGCAACACTAAACCCATTAGAGGAACAACACACGCCAAAGAATAAAATGAAATAAACCGTAATAAAAGTTTGAATAATTTCAGACAAAGAAAACGTGCAATTAGTTAAACAGAAAATTATGCCCAATATTGAAGTGTCTACACTCTACTCCAATTTTGACGACGGAAAATTCAAATGCCACCAACATTTAATTTTCAATACACAGGTATAGGGTATACTGTAACCCAACAAGAATTCTCCATTACACATTCAAGAAAAAAGATCAACAAAATTGCCTTCATACCACCACCTATATGTGAATTAGACAGCAAATTTAACAAACCCCTCAACTCTAACACTGGAAGGAACATCATAAAAAACCCTTTTCATTTACCTTGATATGAAGACTGGAAATAACTCACTATCAAGTTACAAAGAGAGAATTGAAATGTCGACGGCTTCTCGAATGTGTGTTAATAAACGTCGGAGATTATGGAAGAAAAAACCAAGAAATAGTCGGTTGAATTTTGGGCTTTAAATGTTTGACATAAATAGGTTCCTTTTTATTACATGTTCCCAAGCCTGGTTTTAAACCTGGCTGAGTAGCGGGATTGCTGAAGATTAATGAAAATGCAAGAGATCAATTGGAAGTATTAACTGAGCATTCGGTACAAGTTCTTAAGTTTTGGAAGTTAAATTCGATAATTGAAAAGTTTGGTGACTAAATTATAAACTTTTGAAACCTGCCAAAGGTTAGCTACAATGATTTTAGAATGAAAAGGAATTATTGCTAATATTAGAAGAAACAACTAAAATCACATAAGAAAAGGAGTTCAACTGGAAAAGTGGTTTGTTTCATTTTTCTTCTCAAACTCTTTGATGTAAATCAAATAGAACAAGGATTTTGCCTAAATCTTTTTCTATAAATAAATTCTTTAGTTCAACAATTAAAATGAGGCTTGAAGAGATATATTAAGCCTGGGCTTGTAGGGAATTTATTATACATATATTACACAAGGTCAAAAGGAGGAAGTAATCAAGAAATCAGTGAAGAAAGTAGGGTTTCAAAATTTTACAAGAACAATACAGATTCTTGGTGCAAGATCTTAATCTTTTTACCATTTTATCCTTAAAATCCAGTGATATTTGATTCATTCTTATTTTATTCTTCCATGATGTGTAATTAAATAATTAATTAGGATGAATGATTGTAACCTAATTTTGAACCTTAATTTTAATTAAAAGTTTTAAATCTCTAATTAATGTTGTGAATTATTTTTACTTATATTATTAATGCTTGGACTAATTGGCCACTAATTCATTGATTTTGTGAGTGATTGTTGTGTCGAGAGGTGGATTATTTGTTCACACCACGTGGTAAAAGTAAAAGAGTAGTATAAAAGCGTAGAGGCACTTTCTAGTTAATGTTGTCCTTACACGAATTTTTAGAGATTTTATGTTTTTAATGAATGTGTATTTGGATTCACATATATATGAAGATAGAATTGGTTAAATAGAATCAATTTGAACTCAAAAGACATAAATTGAATTTGTTTGTAGAATATGATCAAGTAAAATAATCAATTGTACAAGATTTGGTGATTGAGATTAAGAGGATAGTTATGGTGAACTCGTGAATCATAACACTTGAAACCATCGTCACAATAAAAAGCATAATTTTTATTTTAATATATTTAAAATAAAAAAAATCATAAATAGAAAATAACACATTCAACTTGTTTTCAATCAAATTGAAGTAAGGAATAATTTAATCATCGGTTAGATTAGTCCTCGTGGTAACGATGTCCAAACTCTAAGGTCCATTATATTACTTGTTACATTTCATATACTTACGGAATATAAAATCGACAACAGCTAGCACAACTACCCTTATTCAAAAACATACAATTCAAACTAGAGGAACCATCCAAATTTCTCGTAGAGGGATAATTAGAATGCTGCTAAAATAACTCCACGTGGGTTTCCAAAACAACAAATAAACTTGTTCTAAATACTCAGCAATTCATGTGAAGTCAAGGATAAATTCTTGAAGTTAGTAGGCATGAATCAAAATCTCGACAAGCAAGTATGTCAACTGGCTTGGATGATGTAGCTAGGAAAGATAATAATAT